CCTCAAAGTTTCCAGCTCTCTGATAGCTATCATCCAGTGCACCAAAGTGGGCAGGGACACCTGGTTATTCCAGAACATCCTTCTCTTGTTGCTGTAGCTGAGTAAGGGAAAAAAGCACACAGGTTGCAAGGCTACTGCTGCTGTTCTGTCCAGATTTGAGAGTGGGTACTGCATACTAAAATAAGCTTTGGAAGCACTTCATCTTATAACATTTTTTTAAATGATACAAAGATTTCCCCTATTTTTAATGGTGGAAGAGGCACTTAGATTCTTGTGTAGGATCACTCAGTACCATTTAAAATTAACTGGAGTATTTTCATTTTTTGTATGTGCTACATTTAATGAAATTAGGTATTACTAATTGTATGGTATCCTGTTAACAATTGATTAAAAAAGACATTGACAGTTGAACTTATTCAGTACCAGTAACATAAACCTGAGTGCAATCTACATGATAGTATGAAGCACGAGTTATACTTCCAGGAAACACCAAGATGCAACTTGAATTTTGGAAGATTTATCCTGATAAATTTATACCATTTACTTTGCATGGTAGAACAGTAACAATAAATGCATAACAAAAACTACAGCTTTCACGTAGTCATCAGTAGGAACTGTCACCAGTGAATATGATCTAAGTTAGACACACGTAACATTTTTAATGCTATTCTCCTTCTAAAATAAGATCTAAAACTTCTGTAGTAAAATATTTAGACCTGTAGCAAATCCTGTACGCGTCTCAGAATATAAGGGCATAAAAGTGCTCTCACTTATAGGGCAAATAAAGAAGCGGATTTTCGAGTAGAGAAAAGTCTAGAAACAATACGGAAAAATTCAACAACCACACCTCCAAAAGGTTACTCAGTAGTAAAATGGAAAAAATCTTCTGAGAAGAAAAATTTAATGGGCTTGTAGAAAAGCACTGAATTAGTGAACACTGGAGTTGAAAACCAGAGGATGAAAAGCAATGAGAGAAACTTAGGATATCATCCTTCCTCCCCTACAAGTAACTGACCCTCTTCACCGTCCCATTATATGTCAGCACTGTTGAAAGCTCTGTAATAGAAGAAGAATATTTAAAGTACCTGAGGTTTTCAAAAGCAAACTGTAGCTGAATTAAAAAAAAAACCCACCACCTTTTTTTTGGGACATTTGCAGGCCTGCATAAATGCAATGGAAACTACTCAGAAATTGCATCTATACTCAGCTGTTGAGAAAAGTTTATTTAGCAAAGCTATTAAAGCCTGATTAAAATTTGATGAAATGATAGCATAAATGTGGTAAGTCCACTGAGGTCTGAATTGCTGCCAGTATTGATTAACACCCTTAACACCCCAGTGGGAATCTTATCAAAAGCATATTTCAAATCTAAGCCATGGGAATCAGAATAAAGCCCTGGATAACAACTGCCATATCATTCAGATGAATGTTTTATGTCCCTATATGACAAGCAAATGAAACGAGATAATGGAAAGTTGCCAGAGGATTGGTTTGACTCACAGATGTATCCTGGCATTTACAATGCTGTAAAACACAAAGCTAGATTCATACCTGGTATAATTTCATCAACTTAGTTGAATTTTCCAGTGGTTAAATATGGCCCATAGTCTCTATCCTGATCAGCTGAAATGAGACAAATATTTTTATATATTGGAAGATAACAGTTTATAGATTGTAAGGGAATACAACTGGCATGGAAACTGATGCACAAGTGATTACAGAGAGACTTGAGAGAGAGAAAATGGTTTTGCCAACAGGAAAAATGTAGTTGTTCCAGCTGCAAGGCTTGCAATAAAACAATATAAAACTATGCATGAGAAGAGACAGAGTAGAACAGACGCAAAAGAGGATTCAGAGAAATACAGAGGGACAAGAAATACAGAGGAGAGAATAAAATTGCAACTGGTTTGTTAGCAAGTCTGTCATTTCTTTAAAGATGGAGATAAGCAGCCTGATATTTTTGTGTCGAGGCAGAAGTCAAATTTGAGAGGAGGAGGGAGAGAATGGCAAAAGCATGAGATTGTTTTTAACTCAGGCGTTTCTGCTGTACTGGTAAGGCAAATACTGAGATTTGGGAAGAGCAGCAAAAGGTTGTTTTATGAAAAATCAGTCAAGCGTGGTCTAGATTTGAAAGAGCACAAATTAAAAAAGGAAGGAATGAATGCTTGTGATCCAAAGGGACAAAAGGTTAAAGCAGGTGCTGCAGATGACTCTGAGGTTTGTTGAAAGAATGGAGCTGTTAAGGATGATAATGAGGAGATAAAATGTAGAGGTTAGAGGAGTTGGTTTTGTTTGGCGCTTTGTTGTGGAAGCGGGGTGGGGTTTGGTTGGTTGTTTTGCAAAAAGTCAGTCATAGGTGCTTTGTTCCAAATCCTAATCCTACAGTTAACTAAAAAAGATATCCATACAAGGTAAGTATGAAGAGTATTAACTGTTTTCAAACAGCTTAATAAATTTTGAGTCAATTGAACATTTAGAAATATTAAACAAAAAGCAAAAATCAAATCTCATGTAGCTTCACTACATAGAATATTGGATAGAGTTCATGTCCTTCATTTATTGGAAGAGGCTTAAAGTATTTAAGAATATTATTTTTTGTTTCTCTTTACTTAATTGCTAGATGGGAAGATTTTATTTCAAATATCTGTTGCTGACAGGGGCATGGCCTTTTGTAAATTGTCTCATTATCATATTTGTGTCTTGACCCTGAGTGTCTTCTGTAGAACTAACTGCTTACAGATGACTTTAATGGAGACAACTAAGAAAGGGGGTTTCTTATAGGTGTGGTGTGATTGCTTGGAGAGATCTGCCTCCAATTTTGCAGGTGAATTTAAAGACAAAAAGTATCCAGAGCACAAACACAAGAACAACAGTGAAAACAGTCAAGGGGAAAAGTTGCAATAAATCAGTTATAAATAGCTGATTTCAAAGAATGTTATTAAACATGCTTTCTTTGGCGAAACCTGTGGGATGATTGTGCCATTTGGACACTAATGGAAGCACAGCTCCTGAAGTACAAGTGTTGCCAGGAAGCATAATAAGGCTGTGAGGTGTTCTAGGTGATAAGGTGTATTAGTATCTGAAGTTTTGCATTCTGATATGTTGTCTTAGAATAGCAGCTTTGAAACCTAACCATGTAGCAACCATATATGTATCTTCCTTTTACCATTTTCTTTCTAGTTTTTGTCTTGTGACCTGACATAGCAAGACTGGTCAGTAACTGGTGAATCTTGCCTCTAATGCAGGTTTTCAAATACTACTGCACTTGGGCTTTTCTTCTAGTTGAGTTTATGAAAGGAATTGAAACAGTTTCAAGACACTCTGCAAGTTCTATAAATTGCAGAATCCACACTCTCTCTGCCTTTTCTGTTTACTAAGTTTGTCTGTCTTTCTCTTTGTACCCAGTAGAGTTTAATTGAATAATAGTGACTTTAGGAACTTGTGTCTCCAATTTCTTTATAGATAAACAGTTTTTTCAATTCTGCAGCCTGTTATGCACACTAAATGACATATCATTTAAGAATGTATAATTTCTTGATTTAAATATAGGTGTAATATATGGTAAAGGCAAGTCTTGGTCTGGTATTGCTTCATTTCAGAAGATAGATTAATGAAATGAGAAACAAGTAGCACCAAACTTCTCCATGTCTGGAGTTTTGTGGCTGGTTGGTTTGATTGTAGGTTTTTTTGGTAACATAAATTATATCTGAATACTAATTCCCTATTTCCTTAAATGTTTATATCCTTACTAACTAGATAGAGGCCCCAAATCATTGAACAGTGAAGGAAATGATACTTTGCTGATCAGGGATAAAGTTAGGCACATCTGTCTAGTTCAGCCTGTTGCTTTGGCAAATCTAATTATTTCACTGATCTCACTGTAAACTTCTCCCCTACAGAAATCATCTTGCCTAAATGTATGAGCTAAGCAATAGGAATGTTCTGGATGCTGATCAGAAACTGCTACTTGTCTGTAGCCCAATGCTGAAGGTGTTGAAAGAGAAAATGGAACGTTAACATGCTTGCAGGGAAGAGTTGTTTGATTTTGTTTGGCTGTTCCTGCTAACATAAAAGCTTGGCTCTCTGAATAATCCATGAGAAGCTAAATGTCTGCTAGCTGAGGTCACAAAAGTACTGCTGTAAGCAGTCTGCTGTAAATGGTAGATAGAGCAGACCTAAACCAGGCAAACAGCCCATAATCAGATTTCTGTACAGGAACTCGCTTGGTCCCTACTGCCACAGAATTCAGGAGCCTTCTGATGTAGGAGGTACAGAAGTGTTAACTTGCAAATGGGAAACTGGTGCCCCCAAAGTCTGGACGGATAGACATAACTCTTATGTAAGTGTTCGACAGATTTTAGCAGGAGTGAAGCAGCTTAATGCTGAGCTTAATGGGTTTAGTCAGCCAGAAGACTTTGGAAGAGCTATATGACCCCTGAAATTCAGCTGAAATCTCCCTTTTAGTCTAGTGTTCAGAGATTATATGGTGTTAGGTGCAGAAACCTCAGACTTTTTCCAGGGTTTTTGTTTGGTTGATTTTTAAACAAATCAACTCCCTACCCTAAAAGAAAGCAAAAAGTGAGGTAGCAGCAGTACTTCATGCAGACAATCACGGCTGAAGCAATAAAAAGAAACGTTTTTTGTTTCCTCAGGCCATGGAGTAAGAGATGAATATAGTATTTTTCTCTATGTTGTCATTCTTGAATTAAAAAATAGTGTTTGGGGAAAGGGGTCTTAGTAACTGAGGATGGAAGACATCAAATGCAGTCAGTAGAAAGATTGTAGAGTGTGGGAGAATGTGGAAGAAATAAACTGCACAATGAGAGGTGAGATAGCTTGCATTGCTGACCAAGTTAAATACTTGAAGAATACAAGCTTGCAGGGAGCAGGTTGGCTGGATGGGTTGCAAATGTATTTTAAATTTGAGCTGTAGTTAATATTGCTAGTATGAAATTAATGCAAAGTAGCTGTGTTCTTTGAACTTGGTTCTTTACTTGCAGAAGCATGATGGCCACTTCACAGTCATCCAGCTGGTTGGCATGCTGCGGGGGATTGCATCTGGCATGAAATACCTCTCAGACATGGGCTATGTACACCGTGATCTGGCAGCCCGGAATATCTTGGTCAACAGTAACCTCATGTGTAAAGTCTCCGATTTTGGTTTGTCACGAGTGTTAGAGGACGATCCTGAAGCTGCTTACACAACAAGCGTAAGTTTGTCTTACCTAATTTGAACAGTTGATTGCCTTGTGCCTCTTTTATTCTGGTTTCAGGTTTGTCTTTGCCATAGGAATAACAGTTTGAATTGGCTTTGTTTCATTCTCAGTCCATGTGGTTTAATAGCACTGTCAGTGTGTTTAAGGGAAGTTGTTTTAATTTTTGACTGTGTAAGGAATGCATTATAAACTTTGGCAAAAGGTTTTTTTAAGAAAATGTGTGAGTATAAGTGTGAGACCTTTTTCATTCTTGTTTGAGTTTTGTGTTTATTTTTTTCCCTTTTTTCCCCCCACATCATTTCACATACTGTGTTCCTTTACAAAGATATATTTTTAAGACAGGGGCATGGGAAGGAGAGAATCTTAACAGTTCCGCTGTTGAAATCATGATGTCAAGCCTTACATTCTTAAATTAAAATTTTCATTTTATTTCACTTAAGCTTGCCTTCTAACAGGATATGTAGGACATTTCTCTCAAGGTTTAAGTCTCATTTCATTAATACTTAAATCCCTTATGTGATGCAAGTAGATTGCTACAGTGGATAATGTTTTTTGGGTGGGTGAGGGTTTTGTTTGGTTTTTGTTGGTTTTTGTTGTTGTTGTTGGGTTTTTTTTGTGGTTCACCATGTTGGGGTATGGGGTCCCACTGGAGTGAAAAATTCTTGAACATGGAGAAGCGCATTCAAATTTGACTTAGAAGAAAAAATTAAATTGCACCTGCAGTATGAAGAAAATAGGGGAAGGAGTCTGTTGGTGCTAATAACATTACAAGTTAAGACACAGCATTTTTTCACCATACCAAAATGTTCAGTTACATTCCTGTTGTGATTATTATCACAACATTAAGAATCTAAGTTAATTGTAAGCTGATTTCAAGTAACTTTTGTATCTATCACTGAAACTCAAATTATTTCAGATAATTTCAGAGTGCATTCACATTAGTACTCTCACAAAATGCACAGAATTTGTATGTTCCCATGACAGGACACAGAATTCTAACAGAGATAATAAATTAGTGCTTCAACCTTTTTTTCTATTTAATTTTAAAAAGTGATGTATGGCCAAAATGAGGAACTCATATAATTTAACTGTAATGTAGTAAGTACTCTACTATATTAATTGAATTCAATATAGCTATTGTAATGAGATTACAGACCTTTTACATGTTTTGGGGTTTTTTTGTTTGTTTGGGGTTTTTTTTAGTTTAAGGTTTGCAAGGTTTTCTGTCAGTATGAGCATGCAAGCTGGGATGGGGGGCAATCATAGTTCTTTCATTTGCAGGGGAGAATTCCTTTATTTAGTTCTCAAAACCTCTTTCGCTTCACACTGCTTCTTAGTATGAGGCTTGAAAGGAAAAATAAACATTACTGCAGCTCAACCACAGTTATCCCATGTTGGCTGAGCCTGCTCAGCTGGCAGCAAATGCCCTCCATGACAGGCAACTTAAATTACATTGCTTAGCACTGATCATGGGCTAAGCAGCTCAGCTGGTGGAAGGCACTGGAAATTGCCAAGCAGTCTCTCCCAATTAGGTTCAGGAAAAATACCGAATGATAAATTGAGATTTTCAGCTATTTATCCTGTATATTTCTACTGGATATCAATACTGAACAATTAGTTTTTCAGAGTAGTTAGTCCCTTTTTTATCATGGCTAGAGCTGCTTTTAATCAGGATATGCTGTGTTGTTAAAAAAAATTAATATTTCATGGCAATGTATCTGTTTTGAAGGATCTTGAAACAAAGGACAGGCTTTGATGAAATGCTTGCTATTTTCCTATTGGTTCACTTAGCTGGTTAACATCAGAGTCTGTGAGGCAGCTGTTGTAGGTGGAACACCTCTGAGCCATTGCTTCAGTCCTCCAAGGTTACAACCACATGATGTAGCAGAAGTAGGTATAGCATGTCCATCAGGACACTGAATAAGGAGAGGATGTGGATGATGGCCAGTGTCGGGACCCTGTATCAGCCAGATGTTTAAGGTGAATCTGCTTCAACCGTGAGCTCCACAAAGATGATCAAAAGTCTTTGAAACACATGTGGAAAAATGCTATGTTTCATTACAGAATGAACTGGAACCTTTGTAAACAGGAAGAACTCAAAGCAACAGAATGAGGCATAATAGAAATTAAAGGCATTTAAAATCACTCGATTCCTTCAGCTCCAGGCCCTCTGTCCTTGCAAGCAGGTCTTCACATCCAGACTGTTTCACTGTGGCTGAGTCTGCCTAACTTTCTTCTGTCACCTTTGTTCCTTGGGAAATGTCTTTCCCTCATCCCTAAGGTTAGCCTAACTGCAGCAGTCCCTGTTCCATGTTGCAGTCATTCTGTATGACCTGGTGACAGTCAAGTTTTCTGTGGGATGCTCTTGCCTGCCATCTGCTCCATCCTCTGGGTCTTGCTCCACTTGAGCAGGTTGAGTAGATGTTCCCTGTAGGGAGTCCAATAGTTCTGTCACTTTTTAAAAGACACACAGCACAATTATGACATGACATTGGGAAGAAAGAATTTTTTTGTCACAGTGACTGTGGAGGATTCAGTGAAGACTTTCACCCTTTAAATGGTCTTCTTGGTAACAAAAGAATAGAACCCCGCACTGGATTTCATGTCCTCTGGCAGTTTGCGCTGACCATCATTATGTCATTGGCCTGTCTCCTCATCATGAACATTTTCCCAACAGCAGGCCACATGTATTACTAGAGGGTTTTATGACATCTATTTAGTTCCATACTGTGCTTTTGCCATATGAAGGTTAAACCCTCAGTGCTCTTACAGAGCTTCTGGTCCTTTTAGAACTCGTATTTCCTCTCCACAGAGATTTTTCTTGATAACAGCCCAGTACCTGTAACTATAAGAAAACCATAGAGTGGGACTGCATATCGAACAATAGTATTTTTAGGCTCACAACTCCCAGTACACCACTGTCTGTCTGTGCTCAGATGACACTGTGATTTTTTTTTTTATTCCCCTTTTTGTTTTAGTCTTGGTGCTAGAAATAGAATTCTAAAATTGGATGTTTTCTTTGAAAACAAGAGCTACAAGACAACCCAAACCAAACAGAAGCCAAAAATAGAATTTTATATCTGTGATGATGTGGTCAATATTGTGTGAGTGTATTCCCAGACATAAAAATGTAAATTGATGCAAAAGACAAACTGTGGCAAAACTGGTTGCATTTTTCCAAAAAATAAGCTGAAAAGCCCTCATACCTTGTGAATTTACCACACCTGAGCAGGCACAGCCTTGAGTCAGATGACTGTTATCTTTTGCTTTGTCTTCCTGTTGTCATTCAATATATGTGTCTTCCTCTTTACCTGCTGGTTTAGAGTAGAACTTATATTCTTTCTATTGGCACATCCTCCCACATGCAGGGCAAAAATCAGGAATCAAAGTCTAGGAAAAGTAGTAACGCTGATAGGAAATGCAGAAAGGAAACCACCTAGAAAGTTACAACGTTCTGTGATTCTGTGCTTCCACAGAAACACTAGTTAGGAGACTATATTCAACTAAGTAGTGACAGAAAACCTGACAAATGCCCCAAAATAACACAATTTAGGATCATGTTTATCAAGAACTTCAGACTGTGACACTACTGGTTGGAGAGCTGTTGAATGTTTTAAAATGGTACATGAAAAGATTGAAATCTCAGAAAACAGTTTTGACTTCCATGTCAGAAAGCATTTTTTAAATTATTTTTGTTCTCCAGCCTATTGAGACAAAGGATGTAAATATGTTTTTGATAAGAGGGTTAATAGGAAAGAAGAGATTGGCTTCTGTTAAGTTATTGGGAACTGCCAAACTTTTACAGCAAGATACAATTTTAGAATAGGAAGGAGGAACTAAGAGCTAGAAACACGTGACTGCCAAGTTTTGTGTTTCAGATTGATCAGGAAAAGATAAGGTAAATTTTGGGATAACTCAACAGAATGTGTTTTCCATGGAGACAAAATTTTCATATTTAGTAGTGGTTTCCAAGGCAACAGTAGCTCATAAAAAGACATTTTTAGTACATAAGAAAGCATTTCTGTCAATATAGAGGACATCTAGGCTCTTGCATCACTGCTTTTAGATAGACTATGTTATATCATGCAGATTAATTTAGTTTAAAATATAGTCAGGGTTCATATGCATTTCAAAAAGAGCCACATGCCTCCAGGAAAAACTGTTTACATGTAGCAAAATGTGTACCTGTATATAATCAGAACAGGATCTGTGACACTGCTGCAGAACTGGTATTTCTGTGAATGTGACACCTTAATATTCTGTGTTAAAACTTACTTTTAGTGAGACAAAAAGCAGCTTCAAACTGAATTATATAATACATACAGAAATGTAGTCTAGATTTCTTTCTCTTATCAGCTGTGTTTCTGAATTCAACCTTAGTATATAAAATATATTATGAGGACTTAATATTTTTTACTTTGTTACATAATTTCCATATGTCAAGACATTTTCTATTTCTCTTACTCATACACAAATAATGAGTTTGGGGGAAGAAGATTTAATTTGCTGAAAAGTAAAACAAGATGAAAATTATTTTCTAGTTAATTTGGGATGTTAAGCAATAGTTTCTGAACAACCTGAGTGCTAGGACAAGCATATTGCCTAGACATTTACTTTAAGAATCAAATTAAATCATAAGCAATGGAGTAAATTGATTATTAGCAACCATTCAGAAAACAAAAGAGGAAAAAGAGGCAGTGTACTATAAAAGTCTGTATTAACCTGTTTTCTTGAACACTAATTGGTGACATAAGGTTCTGCGCAATCATTGTCAACTGGTTAATTCTGTATGTAACATGACAACAGCACATTTCATCATCACCAAACTGAGGGAAACACAAGCAGGGTGCATCATGATGGTGTTTTGTTTCTCAGTCTGAAACCAGGCACGTAGTGTGAAATCCCACCAAGCCTTTCCCTTATCTGGAAGAGTTTCTTACATTTGATCTCACTAAAGACTGGCTGAAAAATGAGTGGGCTAAGGTGGTTTGTAA